CCGGAAAATGCAGTCTATATAAATAATAGAATATTATTCAGCCATAAAAAGAATAAAATCCTGTCATTTGCAGCAATATAGATAGAACTGGAGGCAGGGGATTTAGCTCAGTGGTTTCACTGCCTGCTGCACAAGTGCAAGGACCCGAGTTCGATCCCCAGTACCAAAAAAAAATAGAACTGGAGGAGATTATGTTAAGTGAAGTAAGGCAGACACAGAGAGATAAGTATCACATGTTCTCATTCATTTGTGGAAACTAATAAAATTAATCTTATAGAAGAAAAGAATAGAATAGTGGTCACTAGATATTGAGAAGGGCAGACAGGTAGAAAGGGGATGGAAGAAGTTCAGTAAGAAGCACCAAAACACAGGGAAGAGGAATTAGGTCTAGTTTTTCTATAGCACAGTAAGGTAACTATTGGTTAAAATAATTTATGATATATTTCAAAATTATCAGATGAAGGGCTGGAATGTAGCTCAGTGGCATCACACCTGCCTTGCAAGCACAAGGTCCTGAGTTCGATCCTCAGTACAAAAAAAATTATTAGATGAGTACAAAATTCCCAATACATCAAAATAGAGGACTGAAAAAAAAAACAGAGTACTGTTTGAAAAGATGGAAGTGTTTGTTACCAAGATTTGATTATCACACATGGTATAAATGTATCTATTCACTGTAACGTACCCTATAAAGATGTATAAATACGTGTCTCAATAACAAAGTAGGAGACTAGCATGGTCGCTCATACCTATAATCCCAGCAATTTGAGGCCTATTCTGGGCAATTTAATGACTTGGTGATGCTCTGTCTCAAAATGAAAAACTAGAAAGGAGGCTGAGGAAGTAGCTCAGTGCAAAGACCCTGGATTTAAAGGTTCAATCACCAGGACCACATACAGGTTAGTATAATGAGATTTACAAACTCTGGCCTAGTTTAAGGAAACCATTCTTTTCCCACATCCTCAACATCAATTAAGTTGATTTGTTCAATTTGTAATATATGAGCTGTATGCTTAATTTAATTTGGTATTATAATTTTTAGATGTAGAAAGCTAAGCACTAAGTAAATACAAAACTTGTATCAATAGCTAAATTCAATTCACCAAATAATTATTTGATGTCTACAAGATGCAAAGGACAATGGAGGATCAAAGATGAACACAGTAATTCAAAGGAAATAAAACTCTTATGCAAATGAATATAAGGCTTAATTCCTGCTAAAAGCACCCAACCAACAACCAACAAAGTTCTATAAAAAAATGCAGAGGAAGGAAAAATTACTTCAGTAGATTAACTGTCTTATTTCACAAACTGGTATTCTGCTTTGAAAAACAATCCATAAATTATATCTGCAGTCTTCAGAATCCAATTAGATTTCTTGAAGTCTAAGAGGTGATAGTTGAAGATATCTTGGTCTCCTGATCAGCCATACCAGTGTCAGTTGGGGGTCACTTATAAGAAACATGAATTTGTGGACCCAATCCCTAGCCTTTCCATGAAACTCAGGGGACTTGGCAATCTGTATTTTAATAAATCTTCACGTATTTTAATGCACACTGAAGTTTGTGAACCACTAGTTTAGAAAAAAACTTGTTTATTTTAATTATGTGTAAGATGGAAACAAATCTATGGAAAATAAGCAAATGCTAAAACATTTCTCACAAATTCCTTTGGGGAAATGAAAAACAGAGAAGCTATTTTGCTGAAATGACTCCCAACAAGAAGATAGCAAGAGTCTTGAAGAGTGATTTTCATGTACATGTCAAGCAATTATGTAGATAGTTGTCTTTTTATAGTATTTAATGCCAAAAGAATATTTTTATTTTTGAATGTAAATCACATGTTTTCCCTTTATTTCTTGTCTTCTTTTTATAAATTACATATTTTACATGTAAGTGGAATTTTCTTCATAAAGTAAAACAGTGACTTTAAACAACATCTGTTTTGTTAAAGGGAATACTTGGCTAACTTAGTTATTCAGTGTCATTGGATGATTAATAACCAAATATTGGGCACATATAAACTTTACCACTAAAAATGAAAAAGACACGTACACCTCGTGCTGCAGAAATGCAAAGATGGTACTTCTAAAAGTTACTAAAAGCCTCTATTTTACTCAATAGCTTTAAAAACCTACCAAGAGAGCTGCAAAAGCCTGGGGATTCTCTGCAAAAACTTAGGAAGTTACAGATATTTTCTAATCCCACACTCTTCACTTCTTCTGGTTCCTCCCAGTTCTCCCTGAGCCCACCTACTCCCTTTTTTCCCCATGAAATCTTTCTTGCTCAAGGTGCATCTCAGGGCTGTTCAGAACATGACTGAGTAAAATTTCTTTTTTGTTTTTTTTGGTACTGGGGATCAAACTCAGGACCTTGCACTTGCAAGGCAAGTGGTGGAACCACTGAGCTAAATCGCCAGCCCTAGATAAAATTTCTTTAAAAGACAACTTACCTTGTTATCTCTGACCTTAAAAATTACAGAAAGCTGCTGGAATTAGCCATACTGAGGAAGCTTGCAACATAAATAACTCCCCCACACACAAACACACAAGTATTGAGCTGCTTCTCTGCTCCAGGTCTAAGCTACTCAATTATACTTGGGTGTCCTTCAGGAGGACCCTTTATGAATGAAAAGAATGTAGGTTGATGCTGTCTATGGCATATCCCCAAGAAGTCTCCAGAAACCTAAGAAATCCAGGAATCCAAGGAGCTAAGACTAGATAAATTCTATTACTACAATTATCACTATAATTGCATGCATGCATGCACATGCCAGCACAATGCTGGGGATCAAACCCGGGGCCTCACACATGCTAAGTGAGTGCTGTACCACTTAGCTGCATCCTCCGCCTAGCTATTAGGATAAATTTTGGTTGGGAAAATTTAACATCTTCATGTTCGAGATCTTAAAAGCCAACCAGTCTGACCTTGTTTAACATAGGAGAAAACTGAGAGCATGCCGGATCAAATGCAGCCACCATTATCCAAGATGCACTAAAGAGCAAGCACACTCAGCAGAAGCCCAGCAGCTTAGAAAGGGAGAGCTGGCTAAGGATGATGGAGACCTGAAGAGGACTCAGGGAAGTGACACAAGAGAAATTTGGCTTGAAGCTGTCAAGGAACAGAAAGCAGTGGCTCACAACTTTTTCTGTGTGCGAAAATTGCCTGAAATACTTATTTAAGTTCAAAATCTTGAGGAAACCCAGAGGCCTAGGAAGCTAGTTCCATTATAACCATTTCCCCAGTGACTCTGTCATAACTCAGAGTCTCTTGCAATTAAGGTAGTCATATGAGTAAGTTCTCATCAATAGGATATGAGCCTAAGTAATATATGCCACTTCCAAGGAACATCCTCAAAAGAAAGTTACATGCCTCCCCTTTGTTTCTTCTTTTTTGAGACTGGAATGCAGACAGAAGGAGGGCATCCAACTCAATCATGAAGATGACAACAACCTGGGAGATGGGAGAACAACAAAACAGAAGAAACCAGAGTCTCCCACTCCATCACTTGATGCAAAGCAGCCCAACTTTCTGGGCTAGTTGTCTGTAACAGTAACAAAACATCCCAGCTGATGAATCACACAATGCTTATAAGGCAGTTATTAGCAGCTCTCCTGCTGATCTTCTTGGAGCAGCTGTAAATTACATCTCTGCAAATTGCAGAGTCCCTGAGAAAGCAAGTCTGTGAGGAATTACAAGCTGCCATCTTTTAGTTCCTTCTATCCTGAATCTGCTGGTATCCTCAGAAAGACCTCTCACCCCCTCAGGCACACCTCTTGTAGGATGCTGCTGGGCAGAACTCATCACTGCTTTCTAGCTTTGCCCACACATGGTAGTCACTGTTTTAGGCACTGAGGAAACAGCAGTGAACAAGAGAGACAAGACACAAACCTAGTTCTTTCAGGAAAGTGATATTTTAGAAAGACAGGAAAGACACAATACACAAGATAATTTCTGAAAATTAAAGAGCAAAACAACAACCTGACCTTGCAAGTGCAAGGACCTGAGTTCAATCCCTGGTACCAGAAAAACAAACAAACAAAATCCTGAAATTCATCTTCATGTGACTACAAGACTACATAGAAAAACAGTTTCGGGCCAGGGATTTAGCTCAGTAGTTCCACCGCCTGCCTCGCAAGCAGAAGGACCTGAGTTCGATCCCCAGTATAAAAAAAAAACAACCCAAAAAACAGTCTAAATCACATTGCTGAATATCTTATTTAAGAGGGCCTCTGAATAGAGATAGATTTTCTTCACTCGCATGCCTTCAGTGAGAATTGGCTCCATGAACACACCTAAAAGCATTGAGGGTAAGAAATATAGAGAACACATGGATAGTTGTTGAACACTGAGAGTAACTGGCCAATGTACTCATCATAAAAATTCAAACAAAAAACATATGAAGTAGACAATTCAAGGGCTGCATAATCCTCCTCCTTCATAATGAACTACTTTTAACATTTGTTTCATTCATTCAATCAACATGTCTTTTTATTTCCTGCAATGTACCCAGCCCTGTCCTAGATGCTGAATATACCAGATATGGTTCTGCAAAGTTTGAGTCTTTCTCTCAAAGTGTATGTATTGGAAACTTGATTTCCAAAGCAATAGTGTTGAAAGGTTGGACCCTCAAGAATTGGTTAGGCCATGAGGGCTTGGCTCTCATGAATCAGTTGTCATCACAGGAGTGGGTTCATCATAAAAGTGAATTTGGCCCCATCTTACCTTGTACAAGGGGTGATCAAAATATATAGTGAATGTTTACATATTAAAAATGTATTGGGCTGGGGATTTAGCTCAGTGGCGCTGCACCTGCCTTGAAAGCAGAAGGTCCTAGGTTTGATGCCAGGTACCAGGGGGAAGAAATGTATTACACTAAAACATACATTGCCATTAATCCCCCTCAAAATATAACCTCTCACTTTGAATATAATTATGACACTTTCTGAAGCAGTCCTGGAAGTTCTGTTTCATGAGTGTCTTTACAAGATGTGATCAAAAATATGGTGGATACTAGTGCCAAGTGCCATCCAACAGAAAGGTTGGTGTGTCCTCATCCATCCCATTCACCAGATCTGGAACTGTGTAACTTCTGATTCTTCCCCAAAGTCAAAATGAACATGAAAGGTAAATCGATTCAGGACATCAAAGCAGCCACAATAGCATAATTCTTGTGCTCTGGCCCTGTTTCCTTTCACCATGGGATGATGCAGCATGAAGATGCTCTCCGGAGGCCAGCCCCTTGATCTTGGATTTCCCAGCCTCCAGAACTGTAAGAAATACAATTGTTCTGTATAAGTCACTAAATCTGTAGTATTCTGTTATAATAGTAGATAAGATTCCCAACCTCATGTGGCTTCCAGTTGGTAGGGGGGACAGAGTCAGAGACAAAGACAGAGACAGAGACAGAGAGAGACAGAGAAAAACTCCCCAGTTTGTATCTTGCCTTTACTACACCTACTTATGTGATTTCAGGCAAATTACTTAACTCATGGAGACTCAGTTTCCTCATTTGCAGAATGAGGATACAGTAATTGTATGTAACTCATATGGTTGCTGTAGGGATTAAATCATACAATACAGATTAAATAATTTATAAAAGTATCTGGTATATAACAAGTACTCCATCAAAATTTGCTACTATTGCTATATGAGTAAAATGAACATTTAATTTTTAATAAGAAGTATTATATTATAGATATGGTACTATTGTGGTCTAATTCTTGAGCCTTTTCAGTAACATTGCTCTATTTCCATTTTAAAATACATGTGAATGTCTAGGTTACTTTTTTCATTGCCGAGACAAAATACCCAACACCCAAAGTTAAAGGAGGAAAAGTTTATTGGACCTCACAATTTGTAGAGAATTCAGTTCATAATCAGCTGGCTCCAAGGCAGGGTGGCACAAGAGGTGGGCATCACAGAGGAGAAACAGTTCATGGCAGGCAGAAAGCAGCCAAGCAGCAAAGTACCAAGCAGCAAGCATCAACAACAGCAACCCAGAACTATGCAAAACAAATCAGTGGACAAATTTAGTAATCACACAACCTCGATCCCAGCATCACACTCTCTATATCCAGCCACCTCTGAAAAGCCCTACATATGACCACATGAGACTTTGGGGGAGGGGTCATCTAGACACAAGCCATAACAATGAAGTTCATCATTTCAGTTACTTTATCCATTATATGAATTTAGCGTATGAATGCATATTGTATGCTGTTATAGACTGAATGTTTGTCCCTCCCACCAAATGCATATGTTGAAATCTTAAATCCCAGTATGATAGTAAACAAAAGGAAGTAAGACCTTTGGGAAGTAAATATATGACAGTAGAGGCCTCATAAATGGGATTAATGCCCTTATAGGAGACTCCAAAGAATCCTCTCACCCTCTTTCTGCCACATATGGCTGTAACATATAAATCAGTTCAGGACATCAAGGCAGCCACAATAGCTGACTTATATAATAAACTTTCATATAAAGAAACTGAGCCTCATAGAGTTACATTATTTGCTGAAAGTTATGCAATTAGTTGGCAGCTGATGAGTCTAAAGTTCTTTTCCACTATATGCCCACCAGACTATGAAATGGAACAGCATTAATTGCTCTGCCAAGGAAAGATTCTTCACTAAAACTCTAGCTTTCTGCAGAGATAAGGCCCTGGCTTTGGGTAAATCTTTAAGCTGAAGCTCTCCATGGGGCCTGTCTGAAGAGTCAGCTCTTGTATTATAGGCTGGCCAAATTATGTCTTCCTATTCTCAATCTTCCTTGATCTCTCTTCATCTTTCTGTGGCTTATCCCAATCTACTGTTTTATTCCATTTCCCTTTCTCAATATTTTATATCCAAATGCTGTGTTAATATCCATGGTCCTGAGAGACATGAGTTATGCTTGTAAGTCTGTGGGGTTCAGACTCATAACAGAAGGGAAAGGGACCACAGGTCAGTGGTTTTCAGAGGAGATCGGGATATGAGAGGGACAGAAGCAGAACACCTTATCTACAGAGCATCCTACAGCATCTCATCACTCACCAGTGATTCATTCTAAGGAATTACATTTTGGAAACACCTTAATTTCTCCCACTTATAAAACATTTACCTTTCATAATCATTTTGACTTTGAAGAAGAGCCAGAAGTCACACAGTGCTGATTCAATCAATAAGGTTGATAGGGACACACTGTTGTTTTCACTAGCCTATCTTTAGGGTGGCACTCAGCAGTCACCATATTTTTAATCATATCTTGTAAAGATACTCATGACTTCAAATTTTGAAGTTTTTTTATAAAATAAAAGAATTACAAAGAAGAAAGAAAGTGGCATGAAGGGTGAAATACATGAGTTCAAAATGAGTATTCTGAGGGGGATTGATGGCAATGTGTCTTTTATTAAAACAAATTTTTAAAATTTAAACATTCACTGTAAATTTCCATCACACTTCATAACAACCCCTGTAGTATGCTGTATTCTGCAGGACAGGAATTCACAAAGGGCACAGTGGGGTATGGCTTATATTCCCCATTGTCTGGGAGTGACTCATTTGAGGTATGATTCAAATGTCTGGAAGCTAGAATCCTGGAGGCTGCTTTACTAACATGTTTGGCACTCGAGATAGAAGGACTTGAAGTCTGAGCTCGGTTGAGCCTGTCAACTAGATCACTCACTTGTGGCTTCCCCATGTAGATTTGGCTTCACACAACCTGGTAGCTGGGTTCCAAGAGTGAATGTCTTGAGATTGAGCCTCTGGAGGGTAAGCATCCCCAAACTACAATGGCCTTTTTATACCTTGTCAGAGAAGTCACTTAGAGACAATTCTGTTGTATTTTGTTGACCACAAGCAGATCACTAAGACTAGCCTAGATCGAAGAAAATGAGTTCACATCACAAATAAATCATTTCTGTTGCCACCATCTTTGGAAAAGTACAACCAGCCACAAACTGCACTGTGGCAATGACAGTTCACATCCCTTCCCCACACAAACATACTCACATCTCTTCAAGATCCTCAGAGTCTCATCCATTATTGCATCAGCTCAAAGTTGATATTTTGCCATCTAATCAGCTGCCAGTGCTTATGAGGTTTCTTAGGCACAGTCAAGTACAGTTCCTGGAGATCTGAAGACCTGTGAACTCAAGAGACAAGCAGTGGCTTAAGCTCTTTGAGGTAGGACAAGATAGCTGAATAGACTGCCCAGCATTCACCTCCTCTTTCCTAGAAAGAGGAAGCAAAGTTACAGCTGTATAACCGCAGATTGCAGTGAGTGGCTGTGGGAGAACACTGGGAGTCAGCAAGAGACTAGCAGCTTGTAAGATTCAGAGATCTGGGACACCACATTGTAAGAGAAACAGGATACTCCACCATCTGTCACCTTGGATCCACGGCCAAAGGAGGGGGAGTCTCTCCTCTTTGCAGGGGTAAGGATGAAAGAGAGTACTGAAAACTATCAGTGCAGATTCTGGCAATCCTATCTGCTGGAAATTGTTATAATCCTCACAGGCTTGCAGCCCACATAGATAAATAATCTGAAATCTGCATGATAGCCTTACTTTGGAAAAGGATCTCCCAGCATCTCCTACAAACCCCCAGGGTGCTATAGCCAAGAGTCATCCATCTTGAGAAGGGAGCTACTCTCTAAGTTTGGACTGCTATTGAGGTCAGGAACCTCTGCATATTCCTATCTCTGAGACCCCACAGACATTCTGCTGCACTGTCTCAGGGACATAGCTGCTTGATGTACCGAACTTGGCCCAGCAGGGTGACTCTGACCCAAGCCTGCAGGATCCCCAGCATTGTAGTTATGACATAGATGGGAATGGAAGGCATCACCCTTGAGAACCAGGAGATCAGGGAGCTGGTCCTCTGAGACCAAGGGTATGACCAGCACTAGGACTGAAGACAGATACCCATATGGTTCTTGCCAATCTTCTCCCTGTGCCAGGCTCAGGTGCCTGTTACTAACAGGGCAGGGAGGAACTTTGCTCTACTCACAAGGATGTAATGAGATGGCCTTGAATAACTCTGTGGCTGAAGCCATTACCTCACGTTCATGGCTTGGGGAGACTTTACCTGGCTCCTAACAAGGTACTGTTCCCTGATGGGCACTACCACTGAGGCAGCAGAAAGGGACATCATGGTTCCTGCTGTTCCCCCACCTATATAGTTCCCACTACTGGCTGCCCCTACTCCTTGTCTGACCATGCACTGGAGGAAGGACTGGACGTGAGTGCCTCAAAAGGGCTTCTTTTTGTGTGTGTGTGGTACCAGGGATTGAACTTAGGTCCTTGTGATTGTGCAGCAGGTGGCAAAAACACTGAGCTAAATCCTTCGCCCTTAAAAGGGCTTCTTGCAGTCACTGCAACTATCCTTCCCTCTGTAGGATCTGAGTCCACATTACCGAGAAGTCAGAGGACAAGTGCATCAGGCCCCTCACCAATGCTGATGCTACCTGTGCTTCAGCCCTTGCTAGTAGCAGAGCTGACATCAACAATGCCTGAAGAAAACCCCACTTCCTAATAGGGGCCACCATTCCCATTGTGGGAGTAGCTACACAGTACCCCATACCCACTGCTGTCTGCACACCTGCCTGAATTGATAGAGTGACTCTGTCCCTGTGTGGCCCATGGAAACAGTGGGGCTCTGACTCTGATACAGTAAGTATCCCACGTAAACTCTAATCACAGCTAAAGAAGCTACAGGGAAATGATGCAACAATACCTAGCTAGAATCAAAGCGAACACAACATAACAACCACACAACCAAATACCCAAGATGCATCTTTAAGAGAAAGCTACTTATTAAAAACAGACCCCATGAAAGTAGTGAGGGTAAAGATACATGAGCCAAGTGATGCACAAACCTTGGCTTAGGAGCACAAGAAATATGAAAAAAACATGATACCTCCAAAAGAAAATCATATCTAGCAACAGATTCCAAAAGAATTGAAATGGATGGCTTGATATAAAGATATGCAGAGAATGATAATTTTAAAAACTCAATGAGATCCAAGAGAACACAGAAGAGCTGCTAAATGAGGGCCGGGGATTTAGCTCAGTGGTTCCGCCACCTGCCTCACAAGAGCAAGGACCTGAGTTCAATCCCCGGTACCAAAAAAAACCAAACAAACAACAACTGCTAAATGAAATTAGGAAGGCAAAGTAGGCTATAAATGAGAAACTCAGCAAAAAAATAGAGATTTTAAAAAGAACCAAACAAATCTTGGAAATTAAGAACTCCAAAGTCAAAGAAAAACTACAGTTGAAAATTTCAACAGCAGACTAGATTAAGTGTAGGAAAGAATGTTTCAACTTGAAGATGACCTTTTGAAATATTACATTCAGAAAAAGAAAGGCAGGGAGAAGGAAAGAAAGAAAGGGAGAAAAAGAGAAAGAGAAGAGAAGAAAGCAAGAATGAATTTTCAAGGTGTTTGCAGTTAGAAAAAAATAGAAATGGGGGAGGGGAAAGAAAGGGCGATAACCAAGATATGGTAAGTACATATACCAACTCCCTTAGGTGAGTGCAAAGATGTGCTAATAAAAAAGTTTTTTTAAAGATACTTGGGGTTGGGAGGAAGGAAGGTAATGGAATACAAGTATTCTTCACATGACTCTGAGAGCGGTAAGAATCAGGGCAACAAAGAGAGACTATATTCTGAGAGAAAGAGGAAGAGCTATGGGAATCAAGAAAGAGGGGATAGGAAAGCTAAAAACCACACAGAGGAGAAGAAAGGCAATTCCAAGAGAAGTACAAAGCAGTCTCCCCAGTTCCACAGCACTGGGAAAATGCAGACAGCCCTGATGATGACCACAGACTGGGAGTCTTAGCTGCAGGGACAACTTGTGGTTCTTTTTAAATCTGTTAGATAAGTTGGTCTGAAAGTGACTCCTCCAGCTAACAAACTAGAGAAGAAATCTAATATATTACTCAGCATCTCTCAGAGTGGGATAACCAGGAGCCATCTTGAGAAGGGCCCATTGTTGGGGAATAACTACCTGGCGAGCAGGAAACACAGAATATTCACAATTTGAGGTCCCTGAGGACATCCTGTCACCGTGACTGATGGGAAACAGCCACGAGAAATAGTCAGAGAAGGGAAGGGTCTGACAAACTTGCTGAGAAGTCTAAGCAGTGGAAACCCTGGCTGTGGAGGGTAGAGGGTAGAGAGAGGTTTGGTGACCACTTTGTCAAGGACTGAGAACAGTCCTGTGTGGTTAGAGTCAGGTCTCAGAGCCCTGAGATTGAGACCAATGGATCAGTTGGTTCCTACAGGACCCCATGGCCCATGCAGAACTGTGGTCTGTTTCCTTCCCCCACTGTCTGAGCATTAAGGGCTACCCTGTATCACATATTTGCCACACCTGTGGGTACACAGACTGATGCACTCTGTAGTGAATGAGCACCTTCCCATCCCACATACCACCAAAGCTCATCCAAACTGGGGGCTGTCCCAAGTGCACACACAAAAAGCCTGTAGAGTGAATCCAGCCTTGTAGCGGCATGTACCTATCCTTTAACTGGACCAAGGGGATAAGTGGGGCTGGGCTCAGCCTACACACAGCACCAACCTGTTTGGTGGGAGCTGAAAGGAATTATAACAGCCCTCAACCACCATCCCCCCAAGCCTGGCAAATTCCACCACTAGAGGACCCAGAAACAAACTTCTCTAACTCAAGTACTCAGCAGGAAGGAATAGGGTCTTCCCATATCAGCATAAACTAATGGAATTCATGACCACTAAACCTGCATTACAGAAGATATTTAGAGGACTCCTACACACAGAAGAGCAAGCAAGAAAAACACAATCATGAGCACATGGGGAAAAATAAATCTCACTAGAAGAGTAGATAAGTAAACGTGAATTATGAAAGATATAAACATTACTAATTCAGTAAACAATAAAACCGCTAAGATAAATAAAGGAGGAAGGAATGAACTAGATTATTCAAAGAATAACATTCAAAAGAATACCAGTGAAGTGATAGGGAATAGTATATACTTTTCAATAATAACCCTCAATGTAAGTGATGTTAATTCTCTAGTTAAAAGGTACAGATTAATTGCATTAAAAAAACAAGACCTAAAAATTTATTGCCTCCAAGAAACTCATCTTGCTGACAGAGACATGCACAGTCTGAAAGTGCAAAGATGGAAAATGATATCCCAAGCAAATTGAATTTGACAAATGGAACAGAAAAGAGATCTCAGAAATAATATCTATACTATCTATAACCAACTGATTCTCAACAAAGATGTCAAAAACATATTTGGAGAAAAAAACAAGTGCTTCAGCAAATGGTGCTAATAAAACTAGATATCCAGAGGCCAGGGATTTAGCTCAGTGGTGCCACACCTGCCTCACAAATGCAAGGTCCTGAGTGTGATCCTCAGTAACGAAGAAAAAAAACCAACTAGATATCCATATGGTGAGCACTAAAACTTTACCCCATCTCTCACCCTGAACAAAAACCAACTAAAAATGATTGAAAAACTAATTTGAGACATGAGACTACTAAAACACAACAAGAAAACACTTTAAAACATTGGTACGCCAATGATTTTCTGGACGAAACTCCAAACACAGAGGAAACAAAAGCAAGACTTGGCAAATAGGATTACATCAAAATAAAAAGCTTCTGCCCAGACAAAGGAACAACAGAGTGAAGCAACAACCTACAGAATGGAACAAAATACTTCCCAAATATTTATCTGATGGAGGCTTAATATTCAGAATATATAAAGAATTTTAAAAATTTAATAATCCAATTTATTGGAACTAGTAATCCAATTTTTCTTTTTTGGTATCGGGGATCGAACTTGGGTCCTTGCGGTTGTGCAGCAGGCGGTGAAACCACTGAGCTAAATCCCTGGCCATAGTAATCCAATTTTTTAAATGGGCAAATGTTCTGAACCTCTCAAAAGCAGAAACTTCTCAAAAGAAGAAATACAAGTGGCTAATGAATGTATGAAAAACTACTTAATATCATTAGCCACAAGGGAAATGCAAACTGAAACTGCAATGAGATACCATTCCACACCAGTTAGAATGGCTATTATCAAAACACAAAATAATAAGTCAGGTGTGGCAGTACACATTTGTAATCCCAGCACTCTGGGAGGCTGAAGCAG